CAGCAGGAACATGAAGGCGAGCATAGGGACCACTTAATAGCAGATGCTCTTCTCTCTGAAGTTACCAGGAGCCAGAGAGAGTAAGTGTAGTGATTTCCAAGAGGTCCAAATCAGAGCCGCTCATGTTGAATCTCATGCAAGCCCGAGGCAGCAGGCACAGCATCCCAACACATCACAGCCTCATGTTGCAGTCTACATGCAGCTCAGCAGCAACAGCAATCATCCCACAAATCACAGCCTGCTCACCTCGCCTTTAAGAGAGACGAGTTCAGCCTTCTAGGATGAAACTGTTTTCTCCTGAAGCATTTCAAAAGAGCTGACTAGGGCTGCAGCTCGCCAACAAAATCCGGCAGTCCCCCATAACAGGGAAGACAGGTTGCTCATACATCTCGGCACGACGAACCCGAGCAGCAGCATGGAGCCATCAGGACAGACAGAGCCTGCACCTCAAGTGCTTGCAGGCAACAGTGCCTGAGCAGCCCTGCTCCGACAGGCAGGTATGCCTGAAAAGAGCAGCAGCTCTTTGCTCTTTAAGACCAATTCTTTGGTCTAAATAGACAGCTAGAGCTTGCAAGGTAGAGACCGCTCCTAAAATCTTCTGCTTTCAGAAGTTTTTCCAACAAGAACCCCAGAAGCAATCTCTCCGGCAGATTCTCCACCACCCACATAACCAATTGCTATGAATGAAGGCAATTTGGTAACAATAATGTAATGATAATTAGAAATAGTAGGAATTGATCAGGCTTCTTCAGACACGTAAACCCCCTTGTCACCTGGTTATTAAATTTCCTGTTTATAATCAGACTTGTCAGGTCAGTAGCATATTTGGAGGAACTGTATGATTCCTGGCCCTTGGCATGCTGATAGTCAGAAAGGCTGAAGGCAGACTCCCTGGCATTGCTGGAAGAAGTCCAGATGAGTCGTGAGGGCTTTTCATTACCGCAAAGTAGAGACTCCAGTTGACGAATCTGCAAAATAATTGTTAACTTACCTAACACAGCAATCTTCAACTCTTGCAGTACAGCTTTGCAGTTCTTTAAGAGCCACAAGCTTATCTCAGCTTTCCTAGTCTTGGCCAACCTTTCTCTAGACTAGCCAGAAGCAGCCGCTGCTTGGGTACAACTTCAGCCCAAGGTCCACCAGGAGCCTTTCCAAGCAGCCACCGCTGTGTTACACAGCTCAGCTGAGCAGCTCAATTTCATACGGCCAGGTCTGTGTGTTTGCCCTGGACAGAGAGAACCACGTATGGTTTACCTCCACCCACTGACTAACTAGAGTAACCTCGAAATTATATTAACCCTCGCAACAACGACTATCGCCATTTATTGCTATTTTAACTAAGCCCAAGACCTCTGCCCTCTCACTCTGTGTAAGACAGAGCCGATCCATCGGTACCGCCTGTACCCATCCCCACCCACACCAACCACCAGCGCGAGGGCTCGATCTTCACATGCGGCCTCACCAGGATGAAGTGTCCGAAGAGGTTGGTAGCAAACACCTCCTGCAGTCCATCTCCGTTGAGCCTGTCCGTCTGGGTCATTATGCCCTCCGCAGTGGTCAGCATGTGCAGCACCTTCCTGGAAGCCAAGGACAGGAGATAGAGAGGAACAGTGCCGGGAGGCATCTACTGGTCCCCTGCTTCAGTTCTTCAGAAGCATCCCTCACCTCACAGGCACCACACATACTCTCTAGTTTCACCTGCAAGGGCTCTAATAATCCATGAAAAAAACAGAAGGAAAAACTTTACAGAGCATCCCAGCCCTTCTATTTGCCAGTGTCTCAATACTGACTAGGCTGGAGAAGACTTGTCTCTTCCTTCACTTCACCACAGTGAAATACTATTAAAATCAGTCTTGCTCTTCCGTTTCAGGTTCAGAAAAGAAAAATCAAGCTCCAGTGTGGAACTAAGCCCTAGGGCCATGCCTGATTTGGATAAGGAAGGCAGTCTAGTGCCTGTGTTCAACACCCCAACAGCTGTGTTAGACTCAGTGCAAGGAACTGCTCCCTAGCTCATCTTCCCCATCACACTTATAGAATAATTAACAAAGCTTATCATCATGGCGCTTATAGTATATATACTGTATAATCAACTATGAGCTTCACAAAATACCATGATCCACAGCTGAGAACAAGTACGAAAACCTACAGTGGAACCAAAAGGACAGTAAGGATACCCAGCAGGAGCAAACCCCACCTCCCCAGCAACCCACGGTGCCTCGTGCCAGGAGCTCCAGGCTCTGGGTGGGCTCTTGCCCTCCCCTCGCATGCAGGGGGTCTCCCGGCAGGGATCAGAAGCATCACAGGGCACCTGGGAGCACCCCAGCACTTCACCCAGCCACCAAGCCCACCCCACGCCAGGCCAGTCAGCCCGCCTCGGCCGTGATGATGCTGCCAGCCCCCCCACGCTGGGAACCGGACTCCCCCCCCAACATCTCCTACCCGGTGAGGAGCCCGTGCCAGAGCGCCTTGAAGTTGACGTGCGGGTTGGGCATGATCCCGGCGTTGAGGTAGACGAAGTCCAGGCGCTGGAACCTGCGTAGGGAAGAGCACGGGAGTGAGAGGCGGCTGGGGTGGGTGGGCCCGGCGGGCTGGGGGCCGGCGACCCGCTACCTGCAGCGGAGCTC